AATATAGAGATTAATAACATGCAATAGGAAATATAATCAGGTAATTGGAGAGAGTGACTGTCTTTGCTTTGTCAGTGTGGTCAGGGATGGTTTCTCTGAAGAGGAGATACTTTTGCGGAGAGAAATTGGAAAAGCTCTTTTGAGGTTTGTCAGCCACTGTTGGGATATCGCTTCAGCTGTCAGCCTCAGTAGTGTCATTTGTGCACAGACAGATATACACAGCTGTCATTCTTGAAGTTTTTGGTACTTCTGTTTGGTCTCTTCTATAGGCTTAGGTCCTAGGGAGTGTACTGAATTGCTCTCCTGCCTCCTTTTCCTAGATGATTTTTTAAAATATATTTTATTGATTTTTTTTTACAGAAAGGAAGAGAGAGGGAGAGTTAGAAACATCGATGAGAGAGAATCATCGATCAGCTGCCTCTTGCACACCCCCTACTGGGAATGTGCCCGCAACCAAGGTATATGCCCTTGACCGGAATCGAACCCAGACCTTCCAGTCCACAGGCCGATGCTCTATCCATTGAGCCAAACCGGTTTTGGCATCCTAGATGATTCTTAAAGCAATTTGTGTCTAAGGAACTGACATAGAGGGAAAGTGGTTATATAATCTGATCTTTAAGCTTCTAACAGGAAGTCAACAGAAGAATGAGATTAAAGGCTGCAGATACTGCTTAGACAATTCTTTTCCCTAGTAGGCTATACTGGTGGGGCTGGAAAGATACTCTGGCTCTTTCTTCCTTTCCCTGGCTTTCTTTACTGGGTGCTTTTTAGAGGTTTTGGAGTCTGTACCTTCAGGGATTGTCTCTTGAACCCAATTGTATTTCCTTGTCTCTAGGTTTCAGCTCCAGCACAGAAACAGGAATTGCATTTGGAGGAGATGACAGCCTTGAGTACAACAGAAGAATCTCTTTCTACATCACTCCTCAGTAACAGTGTGGCCCCTGGAGCCCACTTGGGGCCTCCTCATGTCGCAGGGGCATACTGCCTCCCCAGTGGGCATTCTGGTACGTTCCTCTCCAGCTCTGGCGTCACACCTCTCTTCTCTCTTCTGGAATCACTTTTCCTTCATCTCTACATCTCCACCTTATTGGAATCCTTTGCCCTGCCCTCTGTCTTCCTTCCATAGAGACTTTTTCTGTTCCTTTTGCTTATTCTTTAATCATTAATGTATTTAGCAAGTCTTTGTCATGGCAAAGGCACTGTTGGCAGTAGAGATAGTATATAGTATACCGTCACTGTGCTTCCAAGAGCCATTTAGTTACCTACTAGGCAGAGAGTCGGTCATAGTGTAAAAGCCAGTCTCATAAGAGACATGAGTGATATGTATTCTCAGGCATTTGATGCCATCACAAATGAGCAATGTGGACATTGTTAATTGTAAGCAAGATCATGTGGACATTGTTAATGGTCATCTGGGGTGGGTAGGGGATGGATGCTTCATGGATGAGATAGCAGTAGTGTTGGATAGTGGAAAATCAAGGAGAAATTTTTCTTTAATATATTAATATTTTTAATGATTTCAGAGAGGAAGGGTGAGGGAGAGAGAAGGGGAAAAAACATCAATGAGGAGAGAAAATTATTGCTTGGCTGCCTTCTGAATGCCCTACGCTAGGGATTGAGCCCACAACCTGGGGCACATGCCCTTGGCCGGAATAGAACCCGGGGCCCTTTAGTCGGCAGACTGATGCTTTACCCACTGAGCAAAACTGGCTAGGGCTTGAGAAACTTTAGGGAGGACACCTAGTAGAGAATATAAACAGACTGAAGTGGTTAATCCTTGGACCCTAGGGTCAAGGAGGACTGCATTTGAGAGCCTAGGGTTTGTTTGTACAAGGCCTTAGAGTTAAGGGTAAGAAGTTTAGGACAATTACTCTGGCACATGTGAACATACTGATCCAAAGGGTAGGCCAGTGGTGGGAAGCTTTAGTAGGAGGCTAGTGTAGGAGAATAGATGTGAGGTGATTATTGCCTGAGTGAGTTGAATGGAGTGGAAAGTGATAGATTCAACAGGCATTGTGAAGGGAAAATCCATGGGGTAAGGGAGAAGAGGAGCAATTAGAGGGTTTTGGACAATGTCTGGAATCATTGACAGAACTTAGGAAAGGAAGATATTAAGAACACACAGTTGAGATACTGAACTTAAGAATTCTGGGGCAGCAAATGAAATGTCCAAGCAACTGGAAGCTTGTGAAACGGGGTCTAGGAAAGAACTGAGAACTTAAGAGCACAACTAGAACAGTGAGAGTTGGTGAGATCTGTGACAGAGAGAAAAGGAAAGCACTACCGTCTGAGCTCCTGGAGTGTCCAAATGAGAGGGCAGACAAGCAAGAGAATGAGGAGCCAGAGATCTAAGAGAGAAATCAGGTTAGGCTGGTTCTAGGGAAGCCATGTGGAGAGGAAGTCGTCAGAAGTATAGCTTCCTGCCGAGACCAGTTTGGCTCAGTGGATAGAGCATCGGCCTGCGGATTGAAAGATCCCAGGTTCGATTCTGGTCAAGGGCATGTACCTTGGTTGCAGGCACATCCCCAGTAGGGGGTGTGCAAGAGGCAGCTGATCGATGATTCTCTCTCATCGATGTTTCTATCTCTCTCCCTTCCTCTCTGTAAAAAATCAATAAAATAAAAAATAAAAAAATAAAAAAAAGTATTGCTTCCTTATGAGAGGTTGAAGAGAGTGAGGACTGGCAGATCAGTTTTCAATTTGACCAGGGTCCTGCTACTTCACTCTCCTTGGAAAATTCACAGCACACTTAGGATAATGGATGGACAAGGGATGAGAAACTGTGTGGAGTTGCCTGGGTCTTCTTGAATCCACTCAGTGGGATACTGACCTTATAAAGCCTAGGGCAGGGCTTGTCCACTCATAATTTATTTCTTCCTTCAGCTCATTGTGCTTCCCCAGTGTCTTCCCTTCCCCAAGTGAGGAACATAGGAGATCAAGCAGCAGAAACTGTGCTTCAGATGGTCAGGCCCCAGGTGAGCTTGGTTCTGTCTGTCTGTTGAGTTCCTGAGTCTGAGGCCCAGAATACCGGTAGCTAGAGCAGTGGTTCCCAACATGGGACACAAGGGGGCAATTTAATTTTTAAGGGGGGACAGTTTGAGAATGAGTTATTAACAGTGAATTTTTTGCATTTCTTATGGCCCTAAGGACTTTAGAGTATATAAATATGTGTTGTGACATATTTATGCATTGCAGTTCTCTCATATGTGTTTTATAAAACTTTGCTTTTTTTAAATCCTCACTTGAAGATATTTTCCCTTGATTTTAGAGATATTGGAAGAGAGAGGGACAGAGAAATATCAGTGTGAGAGAAACACATTGATTATTTGCTACCTGCATGAGCCCTGACTAGGGCCCAGACTAGGGAGGCACCTGTACCTGAGGCGCAAACCCTTGACCAGAATTGAACCCGGGACCCTACAGTCTGCTCTCTCCACTGAGCCAAACTGGCTAATTGCTATTTTGTTCATATCACTTCATTTTTTTTTTTTTTTTTTTTTTTAACAATTTCTTAGTGATTTCTTTTTCAGTACTTCAGCTATTCTTTTGTTCTTTGATTTTTCTCTTTCATGGATGCCATGTTCTTTGGAAGCTTGTTTAGACCAAGTTAATGGCCTTTTTAGGCTTTCTACACGTGAATAAGAGTTCATTTTTAACAAAAAAATAAGAATTATATGTCACAGGATGGGCATTAGGATTTTAGAGATGCTTAAGTGGGTCATGACCAAAGAAAGGTTGGGAACCACTGAGCTAGAGCTTATCTTAGGGGCACTGGATCATTCTGAAACTGCTCCTCTGGCTTCCAACCTTCTTGCTTCCCTTGGAGCGTGATGCCACTTACTGAGTTCATGGACTCTCTCTGGCCCTGAACCTGTCCTTTTAGATGTGTCATCCCAGCTTTTTCCTCCTTCACCTCTTTGCCCACCAGGGCCCTTAACGTGTGCTCTTGGTATCTCTGATGACTCCACCCTTCAGGGTGGGAATATCTTTTGAGCAATAAAAGCTTGTCATTGTAGGGGCCTGCAGTGTACAAGTTCCTATCTGTGGACTACACTGAACAGAAGTTGGAAGATCCATCACTGAGTCAGAGAGCCCCGAACCAGAACTTCATGCTGGAAACGAACTGCAGCATGGCCTCACCGGGTAATGATTCTGTGTCCCTGGAACTTAGCATCTGCATCCTTCACATTTTCTTTGCTCAATTTTTTCTTTTTGAACTTTATTATGAAAAATTATAACATAGACAAAACAGAACAGTACAATGAACCTCTCTGAGTGCATCACCCAGCGTGAACAGTTTTCAACATTCTCTTTACCTTACAATGGATTGAGCTAGGGTGGTTTAGTTAGAGTTTGTATTTATATAAGGATTAGAGAGCACTCAAGTTATTGTAAGTGATGAGTTATGTTACTTACAATAAGGCTAAAGGGATAGGAAATCCGTACAAACTGACCAGCTAGACCAAACTTTGGAAAGCGGGGCCTCATTGAGAATGAGGAGCCTAGGAGCTGAGCAACAAAAGGAAATGAGTTTTTACACTGTGTTGAATTAGGGACATAACACAGCTGGCTCCCTACATATCTCCTCCAACTGATATCCATTGTTTTCACTGAATCTTTTCTCCCCTCATGGCTCCTTTTCAATTAGACTTTGTTCCCAGTTGCTTTCTGGTTGCTGTGGCTCCTAATTGCTTGCCTTTTCCCCATGCATCATTTCAGCTTTGGTCTCTGACCTTTCACTTTTCCTCCTCATTTGACTGTGCTGGCTCAGTATCTCTCTGTCCTGATAGATCTTTATCCATCTTCCTGCACTGACCTTTCCCCTTTTGTCCATGAAGAAAAATTTGAGCTATTTCTGATTTTTTTCTCTTGTTCTCAATTTATTACCTTATTTCTTATGTGAAGGCTTTTTCAGGTAAATAGACTCCTGATGATGCTTTTTCCTCAGTAGGATAAGAAATGCTTTTTTCTTCTTTCTTTCCAAATCAGGTAAGACTCAGATGGAAAATTCAGAGTTGCCTCCAAAGCAGGAAATTTCCAAAGAAACAGAGTCACCTGATGGGACATCAGGAGGCCTGTATGGGATGGCTCCTGGGGGACCAGAAGCTGGAAATGCCTGTGAAGAAATTTTAATAAAGCTAGAAGCACAACCCTCAGAAGAGGAAGGGAGCAGACTAGAAAGTGGTTTACTGGAAAGAACATGTGAGGATGAAAACAAATCTACAGAAGATGGATGTGATGAGTATAAGGATCTTGGGGAACACAGGAATCTGTCTTGTAGTCCTACAGAATTTCAAGTTTTGAAGGCACAGAAATTCTATCAATGTGATGAATGTGGCAGAACTTTCAATCGAAGTACACACCTCACTAACCATCAGAGAATCCACACTGGAGAGAAGCCCTTTGTATGTAATGAGTGTGGCAAGGCCTTTAGGCAGACATCTCAGCTCATGGCTCATCTCAGAACCCACACGGGGGAAAAGCCCTATGAATGCAGCAAGTGTGAAAAGACCTATCGACACATGTCCAATCTCATTCAACACCAGAGATACCATAATGGAGAGAAACCGTATAAATGTAATGAATGTGGGAAAGCTTACAGTGTGAGTTACAAACTCTATGACCACCTGAGAACCCATACGGGGGAGAAGCCTTACGAATGCATTAAGTGCGGAGCAGCCTTTTCTCGGAATACTTATCTTCTCCGGCACCAAGCACTTCACACTGGTAAGAAACCTTACAATTGCAACGAGTGTGGGAAAGGTTTATCTTCTAAAAGAGATCTTATTGACCATCAGAGAATTCACACTGGAGAAAAGCCTTTTGAGTGCAATGAGTGTGGCAAGGCCTTTCGTCAGAATAGTAACCTTATTCGACATCAGAGACTTCACACAGGTGAAAAGCCCTATAAATGCAATGAGTGTGGCAGATCCTTCGGTCGAAAGTCACACCTCATTGCACATCAGAGAATTCACACCGGGGAGAAGCCCTATGAATGTATTGAGTGTGGAAAAGCCTTCAGTCAGCTCTCTACTCTTAATCACCACTATCGAACTCACACTCGAGAGAAGCTCTGAGGTTTGGCCTCATCAGGTTCTTAGGTGTAAGTTTCTATAATAAAAGACAGAGCAAGGAACTTTCAATTAAGCTTTCTTTATAAGAAGGATGTTTACCCTGATTCCCTCTTGGAACCATTCATCAAAGTGAGCTATTCCCTACACGCTGTCTGTTGGGTCATGAAGGTGGAGAGTGGGAGGAACAATGCAGTCCTCCACTATTGGGAAAGTGTGGCTACACTTTCCTTTTACTTGTTGGGTTTTTCTCTCCCTCCCTCCCTTCCTTCCCTCCTTTCTTCCTTCCTTGTTTCCCTCTCTTCTTTTTTCCTTCCTCCCTCCCTTTCTTCTCTTTCTCTTTCTTTCAGCTGTTTAGAAATGTATCTCATTTCTTCGGTATGCACCCCATGATCATTTCATGCTTTTCAAGAACAGAGATTATATCTTTCTTATTCTATTCCACCTTTCCTATTTTATTTTATTTTTGTTTGTTTTTTTTCAAAATATAGTTTATTGATTTTTTACAGAGAGGAAGGGAGAGAAATAGAAAGTTAGAAACATCTATCAGCCGTCTCCTGCACACCCACCCTCCACTGGGGATGTTCCCGCAACCAAGGTACTTGCGCTTGACCGGAATCTAACCTGGGACCTTTCAGTCCGCAGGCTGACGCTCTATCCACTGAGCCAAACCAGCTTCGGCACACCTCTCCTATTTTATAAAGTTACTCTCCAAGACGCTGATTCATTCTTTTTTTTTTTTTTTTTTTTTTTAAATATATTTTATTGATTTTTTACAGAGAAGAAGGGAGAGGGATAGAGAGCTAGAAACACTGATGAGAGAGAAACATCCACCAGCTGCCTCTTGCACACCCCCTACTGGGAATGTGCCTGCAACCAAGGTACATGCCCTTGACCAGAATGGAACCCGGGATCTTTCAGTCCACAGGCCAACGCATGATTCATTCTTTACTTTCTCTTGCCTGTATAACTCCTTACCTACTTTTTTTGTTGTGTTAATCCTCATCAGAGGAAATTTTTCTGTTGACTTATTTGAGAGGAAGGGAGCAAACAAGTGAGAAACATCAGTGATGAGAGAGAATCATGGATCGGCTGCCTTCTGCACGCCTTCACTGGGGATCGAGCCCACAACTCGGGCCTGTGCCCTTGACTGGAATTGAACCTGGAACCCTTCAGTCTGCAGGGTTCTATTCTCTGAGCCAAACTGGCCAGGGCCTTACCTTTTTTTTGTTTACTTTTTAAACTTCTCCAGTCTAGACCCCATCACTAGTATTCCCTCCTCAGAAAACCTTTTCTTTTTCCTATTTGCTAATCTCTGTTCCTCATAATCTTCCAGATCAATCTCCTTTCTAGATCCCTTCAGATCCAGCTCATCTGTGAAAGACTTCTGCAGACGCTTCTTCATTCCTCTTACTCATTTGACCTCAGTACTTTAAATTAGTTGCTGCTTTAATGTGCACCTGTTGTTAATTTGCCTTGTAAATTATTCTCAACTTAATCCTTACGTGTATACATTCATGTCAATTTGTTGTAGGTTCTTTGAGGTTGGGTATGGCAAATATTTCTTTCAGCATATAGAAAATAATTTTCATATACTAGTTAAGAAGTAATATTTTAAAAACTTACTCTCCAATTGAACCATCTTTAAAGTGGGCACAATCTATAATACCTACCTCTCTCCACCACCAGACTAGAAGCTTTTCAAGATGGAAGTGGCATCTCATCATAGAATACCACATACAAAGACCTCATATCTTCTACATGTACCCCTGGAAATCTTACTGTTACTTCATTGTTAGTTTCTGATATATATTCTATAGTGTATATGAAGTTTTCTTCCATTCCTGTCTTTAGAAGAAGCAATGTATAATTGTAGTTAAGGACTCAAATTTTGTGCCTTGAACTCGAGGTTCAATCATGAATCCATCACTTTCGTTGGTGTGTGATCCTGTCACTTGGTTTCCTTGTATCTCAGTTCTTCCATGTATAAAATGAAGCAACCTCACAGTGATGTTAGGATAAAATTAGTTCATAAGTGTAAGGCACTTAACAGTGCTTGGCATATAGTACACACTATAGTAATTACTGTTTTTTGTTTTTGTTTTGTTAGAGTGGCTGCTAAGTTCTATCACGTTTTAAAAGAAATCTATTGGTGTAACTTTATGGGTCATATCATTTATTTTTGTAATAATTCTTGACAAGTTTCCAAATAAATGAAGTTTTTTTGCACTTTTGGTATAAAACACATTTGTTTGTGGTGATTTTTTTAAAAGTACAGAACTGGATGAAATTTATTAATGTTTCGTTAGCTTTGCAAAGTATTTTGAAAGAGTTTGCATAATGTGGGAATCACTCTATTTAAGGGTAAAAATAATGGTGTAATCCATTCTTGGGGAGGAGGAAATTGGGAGGGACAAATTAGCAACATTTTGATTTCTTCGGTGATTGCGCTGTTTAGATTTCTACCTCTTTGTTAATTTTTGGTAAGATATATCTGGAAGCCATCGTTTTACCAGGCTGTCAAATGATGGCATGAAGTTTGACTTAGTATTCTGTAAATTGTAAAGCAATATACATTGCAGTAGTATGTCCCATGCACTTTTACACTTTTTTTTTTTAATCCTCACCCAAGGACTTCTTCCCATTGATTTTTAGGGAGAGTAGAAGAGAGAGGGAAAGACAGAAACATCGATGTGAGAGAAACACAATTGGTTGCCTTCTGCAGGAGTCTGTAACCAAGGTACGTTTCCTTGATTGGAAGCGAACTCAGGTCCCCAAGCCCACACTCTATCCACCGAGTCAAACCTGCTAGGGGACTTTTACCCTTTTGAAGTTTCCTCTCATCGTTTCTTATACTTTGAGAGATACAGCCTCAAACAGATGGAGTTCCCCAAGAGAAGTGTGTTACATCCAAAAGCCCGTATGGTCAGAAATGTGTGCCCTCCCCTCCCGGTGTAAGGCCTTTGCTTCCTGATTTTCCCTCCTTCCGCTCATGTGTCACCGTTCCACCGCCATCTCCCTCTTCCTCCCCTTACTTGCTGCCAAGTTCTATGTCTTCATTGATTATTGTCTTCCCTGACTTGCAGGTAAGCTCCATGGAGCAGCGAGTTCATTTCCTCCCCTCCTGTACTGGATCCGCAGGACCTGGGACACTGACATAGTAGGCCCCCCAAAGTAATTTTTATATGCTGCTGGTAAACAGTCTCCTAGCTTTGAGACCGAAAGCCGCGGGATCTGTAGAAAGAAGGATGACTTTCGGGCTCAGCAGCCAGCACAGAGCTGCGGGGACAGCAGGGAGCCTCGGTTCCAGGCGCGCCCTCCAGCCGCCCTGTAGCTTGGCTCCTCCCCGCTCCCTGCCCAAATCTCTCTCAGGCTCCACCCCTTCCAGGGTCCTCCTCCTATTGGCTGAGCCCTCCAAGGCCTTTCGTCCTCCCAGCCAATAGGAGGGCAAAACTCGGTGGGAGGCGGGGCCAGAGCGCGGGCTCACGGGCTGCCTGGCGAAGGGACAAAGGACTCCAGCCTCCCAGAGGGTTGGGGTACGCGTTAGTGGGGTGTCGATGACGTAATTCTTTCTGCGCTTTGTTCCACGATGTGAGCTTTCGGCGAGGGGTATGTTGCAGCCTGGCGTGGGGGTCCGGGGGGGGCGGGGTTCTGGGAGTGTGTGTGCGCGGGGGACACCGGCCTCGGCGGAGACTGGGGTGCAGCGGCTCTAGGGTCCTCATGAGCCTCCTCGTCCCCTCGGGCACTTTCCCTTTGTTTTGGGTTTCGTCCCCAGCTGGGCGAGGTTGCTACAGGTACTGACAGAACTGTGTCATCCCCCACCCCCACGGCCAGTGGGCCGCCAGGTAACAGCGGTCGAAGCCAGCCCAGGCTCCCAAAGGGGCCAGAATCTTGAGTGTTTGACTTAGGTCACCTGTCCGTCCCCCTGAGTTCCTGTGAGGAAACGGCCCCAGAGGGGAAGGCAGAGTCTTGCCCAGGGTTACTACTCATTCACCCATTTAACAAATACTTAGCACCTACCCAAGAATGCCAGCTCCTGGGTTTCGGTTGTGTACAAGGCAGAGAGCTACGTTCTGGCAGGGAGGAAACGGAATAAGCTTGAGGACCTAGAAGCAGAGTCTGGGAATCTGGAGCCTGGGAAAGAAAACACACGTTGAGGCCTGGTGATCCTAAGAGATGGGTAGTTATTTTAAAAATCTCCCTCTTGCATCCTTTCAAAACCCTATTCTTGCTTCTGTCTCTAAAGGCACTTGACTCAGCAAAGATCCTCTCTCTTCTCCCTTCTGCAAACTTTTCTTGGAAAGCCGAAGTGCAGAGAACTTCTCAGTGGAAGGCACTTGGCATGGAGAGGAGACTTTTGGATGTAAAAGGAGCAGCTGAAAGGGAGTGTCCATGGTGTGATGGACACAGAAGGCTTGTCTCTCACTAGTCATGTGACCATGGACAAATCATTCAACCTCTGGGTGCTTCATTTCCTCATCTTTAAAATTAGAGGCTTAGTACATGAAATTCATGCACTTGGGGGGTGGTCCCTCATCCTGGCCCAGGCTCTCTAGCAGTCTGGGAGCCCTGGGAGGATGGCCGACTGGTGGGTTAGTGGGCCTAAGCCATTGTTTGGGCATCCTTAGCATTGCCACCACTGCCACTGCCCTCCCAGCCGTGAGCCTGGCTTCTGGCTGAGCAGTGCTCCCCCTGTGGGAGCACACTGACCACAAGGGGGCAGCTCCTGCATTGAGTGATTGAGTGTCTGCCCCAGTGGGGATCATTCTGCCATTCGGTCATTTGCATATTAGCCTTTTATTACGTAGAATAGGAATGATCATCCTTACTGACCATTGCTTCCTAGGAAGGGGAGTACCCAGGGAGGGGACACTTCCCTGAGTGTCAACTTGGAGTACAGCACTCAGAGAACTCAATCATTTCTGTTTACAGTGATTCAGGACCCCATTAGGAACTTCCTCACCAACCCAAGGAAGAGATCAGGCAATGTCTGTGCTGGGTACATC